TGAACCAAATCCACCAGTTCCTGGGGTGTCCTCAGAGCCTGCAGCAGAAGGGCTGGGCCAGCGAAACTGGGAGGCCTTTCTCCCTGAGCTCTGGATGGATGCATCCTTCCTTTCCCTCTCGGTTGGCAGGAAATATAATGATAAGTCACTGCAGAGTGACTTATCAAAGGGAAAGTTTATGAAATCCTTAGTTTTGAGTGCTCTGAGACACTCAAAGTGAATCTGAAAACTGTCAGTTTTACATTTGGTGATTCAGAAAACATTAATGTTTCAACCTCTGAAGAAACTGAAGTGTGATGTGATGCTGCTCTATCACCCTGCTTGTCCGTGGCTTTTGTAGGGAATGAACAGCCCTTTGCATCAGGTTTAACTCCTGCATTTAGTAATCTGTAATCTGGTGTTGTAAGGAAACACTAGACTACACCATCCTCTCTGTATTGAGCCATTTCAAGTAATTTTCAGACGTGTCATTCCAGACTGAACAAAACAAAGGATGCAAAATTAGGTCATTTGAAGCCACAGATGAATAACTGACACGGAATTCTCTGGCTGTGCGTTGTATGACACATTGATTTTCAAGCCTTAATTTTGTTTCCATATGCAGAGACCTTTTTTGACGAACAGATTTCTCAAAACCTCTGGTTTATTTTTCAGCTTTCCCCTCTCCCAGGTGGGTGCAGGCAGGGCAGATGGGGACACTTGCAGTACGTGGAAGGAGTGGGATGTACTTATGTCTTCCACCCACGTGTCCCTCAAGCAGCCAAAACCTCTTCTCTGTGACTCCTGCTTTTCCCCAGCAGAGGGGGAACTCACTCTGATGAAAATACGGGGGTTTTCCCCTAGTTGGAACTGTAATGAAATATAAAATATGCTTGTGCGTAAAGCTGAAAAGGAGTTAAGGAAAGGTACATGCTTCTGCAAAAAAAGGAGAATCCCTGTGATGGTGAGGTATTTTCTGGGTGAGCAGCAGTCAGATACCACTGGTCCTCAGCTCCCGTACAGATCCGAGCATGGAGGAGCTGTATTTTCATTCTTTCAGATAATTCAACTGGAAGAATATTAAGCCAGCAGAGATTGTAGCCTGAGTTTGCTGTTTCCCTACGTGTAATTAAAAGTACCATCTCCTGTTCCCAGGTTGGCACAGGAGCAGGAGTTGGTTTCAATGTTAACATGGCGTTTACTGGGGGCCTTGACCCACCCATGGGAGACACAGAATACTTAACTGCCTTCAGGTAAGAGTGAATTCTTCCTCTTAAAAGATGTATTTTTCACCTAAACTGTGTTTCATTCTCCTCATGGCATCCTCCTTAACCTGGACTCTTCCTCTTGCTAAGAAATACAAGCTTTGCATCCAATCTTGCATGTGCAAGATTTAAGTTTAGAAAAACAAGGTTTACATCTAGTTGCAGTTACATTTTGAGTAGCATGGTAGAAATGAAGCTGAATTAAGTCAGTAGGCTATTTCTGGCTGTGAGAAGTGTTCCTGTGACACCAGCGGATTGACAAACTCACTACTCAGGACCAATCAATGTATGAATGTAAAATGTCAATGGATATGAATAAGCTCTTCTGGTTCTGGCTAAAAGTCCTTTTGTCTCTTTAATGTGATCATTTCTATGGCTAAACTCACCTGGATGGGGAACCCAGGAGATACTTTTTCATGAGTCAGCATGAGTTGGAACTGGGGAGTGCAGCTCTCCCATGGCTTGAGGCATCATCTCTGTGAGGCAGATGGTGGTACCCAAATTTGGGGTGAGATGGCCATGCAATCCCTGCCCTGGGGGAGCTCTGCTCACGACTCACACCACAGCCACTCCCAGGTGTGCAAAGGGACATGGGCTGGTTTTGGTAAGCTTTAAATTTTAATGTTATTCACCCAAGATATGGATGTGCCTGTTCCATCCCACTGGAGACTGAAATGGTGGAGCTGTTGGCTTTGTGCTTGTCTTACTGGGTTCTGCCTTCTCCTCAGCAGCAGCATGTTATGTGTTCTGAGTAAAAATACGTCTCTCAAATCAGTGCTACTCGTGACTCGCTGTCAGAGTGTGAATGAAGGGCAGTAAAGCTGTGGAGTGGAATGCATGTGGTGCTGGGATGTTCTCCTTGTTTAGCAGTGATGGTAAAGGCAGATTAAACCACTGTGCTGCTTGGATGAGCATATTCAAGCCTGCTCCCAAAAATGGCATCATTTTTGGCTCCAAGTGGAACAAGGGATGAAACTACTTGACTCAAGGTCAAGAAAGAAGGTATAGATTAGATATCAGGAAGAAATTGTTCCCTTTGAGGGTGCTGAGGCATTGGCACAGGTTGCCCAGAGAAGCTGTGGCTGCTCCATCCCTGGGAGTGTTCCAGGCCAGGTTGGGCAGGGCTAGCAGTAACCTGGTTTAGTGGAAGGGGTAGAATGAGATGAGCTGTAAGGTCCTTCCAACCCAAACCATTCCAGGATAGTATGATTTTTTCAATCTATCCTGCCCCACTCCCTGCCTGTCCCATGCCGTGGGTCCAACCTCTCCATCTCATCCTTCTGTGAAATGGTTTTCTGTCCTCAGACCAGTTTTAGTGTAGCTCTGTTGACCATCCCATCTAACTTCAGGGAGACACACCCTTGCCAGAACATGAGTTGTGACTTTCTAGGGTATCACCTTCATGGAACAAAATTAAATCCAGGAGCATTATTCTCTGCTCTTCCCTGTACATCCACTTAAATTCTGTTGCACTGAGCAAAAAGAGCTGTTTCTCTCCTGCCATTAAAAAACTTTCAAAGGACATACACAGTTTAAAATAATATCTAGTCAGATCATTGTCATTTTTCTCACTGTTTTATTCCTGGTCCAGGAAAGCAGCACTTTGCTCCAAAGTGGAGGTGTAGTTATCCCACAGTCAGCAAGAACAATCTCTTCATCAGACAGAGAACCTGGAGCAGGGGACAGGGTGACATTAAACATTGAGTTTTGAGGCTCCTGGAGAATTGCTCAGGCCTTTGCCAGCCATTCCTAGTGTCTGCCCAGAGACTGCAGCTGTTTGGAGAACATACTTTGGGTGACAGCCCTTATTTTGGCAAGTTTCTGGGGAGCTGAGGGATGCTGTGCTCCGCTCCCCTGGGCAGCAGCTCCTGCTGCCTGCCCCATGTGCACACCTTCAGCCCATAAGTTAAATCAGAAACTTTTTCTTCATCTTACGCCAAGCTTGGGCATGATAATACATTATCAAGTGACCTTTTTAAATCTTAACCAGCTTCTTTGAAAACCAGTTTTCCCCCCTGAATCTTTCTATTGATTTGAATGCAAAATAACCCTTTGAAGTTGGCAATTTATAGTCCCCCAAGAGTTAGAAAGTGAAGGGAATGGGTCATATATCCTATTTTTCCCCCCTGCTTTTCTTGCTTTAGCCCCTTGAGACAATACATGCCTTCAAGGCAGCACCTTGTTATTCCACCCCATTGAATGCCACGTTGCATTTGCTGGGGATCAAACCGAAGATGAAGAAAAGATAAGAAAATTGTCCATAATGAAATCCAGAAGCAGCAGGCATTTTCACCATGAACTTGGAAACTCGCAGTGGAGAACTGAGCTTTAATTCAAACCAGTCCCAATGCCAAACTGTGAGAGGCTTTGAAGTCTGGAGAGAAATCAGTGGAAATCCTTTGAGCTAGGCAAAGATACTGATAGACTTTTTCTTTTTTGAAGCCTTAACTCTTCACATGCCTAACTGTTTTTAGGGAGGAAAGTTCTTTTTCCTGTGGAAAACAAGCAGAAGAAAACTAAGCGACATGCCTCTCATTTTTTGTTGGTTTATTTCCAGTGTATGGATCTGATCCATGAAAATAGCAGAGATAATTGTCCTCATAAATTAGGGAAGTGAGGAAATCAATAGATCCCAAGGAGACCTCTCGTCCCCACACTGAAAACCTCTTTCAGTGTGGGTTTAGTCTGTCCCAAGAAGTGAACTTGCATCAGTGATTTTCCTCTTGAGATTTCTTCCATGAACATTGACTCCCTCCACCTGCAGCCCAGCAGTGAAGTACCCAGGCTCTCCTGACCTCTGGATGCTTCTAATCCCACCAAGATGTTTCAAAAGTGAGAACAGGAGTTAAAACTGTGCCTTGCCCTGCACTTTGTCACTTATCACAGCTGAGGGCTGAAATCCCCAACAGTCACCGCCTGAGGTTGGGGGGATAGCATGAGCAGCTGGATTTTTGCGGGGGGTCACACAGGGTGGAGTCTCCATGGTTGCTAAGATGTTCAGAAGGGATTGGGGTAGTTTGCTGGGTGCTTGGAGCTTCTCCACTCCATCAGAGAAAGCACAACATCCGAGTTTAGCCGAGTGTCACTGGGCAAAGGTCCCGTGGCTGAACTCATCCCCAGAATATTTGAGCAGTAGAGATACCACAGATGGGGCAGAAATGTAGTCAACTTGAATACAAAAAATGCAGGGCATGATGTTTGGAAAGTCCTTAACTCATCAAAACGTTCCCGGTGTCTCTGCTGTTATTCCGTAGCTATAGAAACAAGCGGTTGTAAAATTTAGAGGTTTTTTTGACTGTGATGTGTTGTTCCCTAATGTTTTATGCAAGCAGAAACTGTGTTTGCTTCTCTCGACCCTCCTGATGAGTGTGCAAACCCAGCTAAGAGACCTGCATGAAAAATGGGAAGACTCTGTGGCTGGTTCCTTATTACCTGGGAACAGCAATTAGTGAGATGAAATTGTATTATGCACAGGAGTTCCCCTTCAAATTTGCTGCAAGAAAGTTTTCCTGATGATTCTAGCAGTTGTGTTGTCTTGTAGAATTTTTTTTCTCCCTATCCTGAGGTCTCCTCCACAGTTATAATTCCATGTACAGCTCAGTTCCACACTTGTTTCTGTTATAGGCAGCTAAGTCGAAAGGAAAAACCAGGACTGTGTTTGGAAGATTCCACCTCCTGCTATTCTCAAA